TGAAAGTCATTTCTGGTGTTTATGTTTATGTTTGTGTTTTGTGGTGTAGGTATACTTAATGCTGGTGAAGAAACTGTAATGCAATTTCTGTGCGACATTTTAATGACTTCAGTATTATTTGTTAATAATATGTTATCGATGAATGTGAAGACATAGCAAATGAGATTTTAGCTTCTGAACCCGTTGAAGATGTCGGTGTTGGTACACATGACCCGTGTAGGTATTTATACTTCTACGACGTCAGTTAGCAGCAACTGCTCCTTGTGTCATGGGCGTATCATCCCTGCAGTCTTCTTAAGGTAAGGCATTCTGACAATTTGTAGATAAACCGAAAATTCTTATTGTGTTCCATTCAATTATAAACCTTGTTTTGTCACCGTCATGTTAATAAAGTGAATGAAATGAACAGAGGACGATTAAAGGTATACAATTGTTGACGTTGGATTTAATCGTATAACAAAATAAAAATAACGGAAACATTTAAAATAAGGAAATTTTTAAGGAAGTCATAGTTGGAAGGTTTAGAAGCCCATAAAGGTGTGCATTAAAATATAATATCAGATGATAAAATAACTGCGTAATCGTCACACAGAATTTTTAATCCTTTCTGTGTGTTCTGATTTAGGTCGATTAATAATGTCAAATAAGTAATTCTGCCCCCTTGCCATTTCACTGTATACAGATATCATGACAGTGGAGGTTCCCATTTCTGTGGTTCCAGGTTCTAATGGCCCATAATGTAATGTCTGACATTTTGTATAACGCTGTAGAAAATCTTAAAAAAATATTTATTTTGTCGAGATGATATTCTGCAGAACGTGTGTTTGTAACTCTGCGGTCATGAGAAAGTAGCTTGTCGTGTGACGGCATTAATCAACATTTACAAGATATATAATTTCCTGCCAAAATCCTAAAGTTTCTTACATGTTTTATGAAATATAATTTTGTGTTTAAAGTTACAAACGTTACGATGGACAGATAAAAGAGATTACCGGTATTTCTAATTAGAATTATTTGTTGAACATTTGCTAATGAACATTGTGTACACAAAGACCAATTAATTACCGAGTTGTCTAAAGCAAGCATCGTAAATTATATACAATGAATGAAATAACTGTTTCATCTACCCATATTCACACGTATGGTAAATTGCCTCAGTGAATGCGTCTCATGTTTTTCAACGATTCTGAGTCAAAGAATGAGATGGCTTCACTTATTTTTATTTACTTTATTTTCTTTGTTCTATTTCTCTGTTCTTTAATTTGTTTATTTTTTGCATTTATTCTTTTTTGTGTCTTTCTTACTAACGTACTTTTATCTTACTTTCTTTGTTCCTTTTTTCTATTTATTTTGCATTTTCCACCATTCCTTCTTACTTTAATTTTTTATTTCTGAATACGCTGTGTTTGATTAATAAACTATGGATTTGACTACGAAACGTAAGACTGCTTAAAATGGCAGACTTCCAAACTACCTGTATTGCAGCCAATAACCGTGATGTAAATATTGGCATTCGCACCATTTGGTGTTCATATAATTACTTTTATAAAAAGAATGACTGGAAGGCTGGACGATTGAATGCTGGCATAATTAAAAGCCTGTCAAAATTTCCCCTTTGTTACCGCGTTGTATGTAACACAATTATGCCTGTATAAAGGTTAAAATTAAAAATAAAAGTCAAATTCAGTGGGTTCGTAACACGGCAAAAGGAATATGTAATGCTTATATATCCAGTTAACTACCTGAAATTGGTGTGTTCCATATGTTAATTGAAATAATACGGAGTCAAGTTTTATCCATCAAACACAACGATTCGTATGCTATTGACAGTTGTTTATGGAACAGGTTTTTAATGTTCTCTTTTTTTCGTTTTGAAGTGAGGGAGTGAGGGAGGCGAAATTTTACTCTGCTTAAATGTTGTGATATTTGCTTTTTGGCTGCTAGGGGTGACATGTTGAGTGGTACTGCGGGGTTCGCCTAGTGACTGTAATATAATGCAGAAACATTTTTAAACTGGCTCGCCTGTTTTTGTCAAAGTAAAACAAGTGACGGACGTCGTCGTTTTTGATACAGGCGTCAATCAACTTAGTTCGTTTTGGGACAGAGTGAGATTCAAAGTTTAACTAACAGTGACCTGTTCTACTGGTGACACCGTCGTTGTAGAATTCTGTTTGCACTCTTGAGCCAGGCATCTAACAAGAGTCCATCGGAACAGGAAGTAATTTTTGTAACAACATTTCTATGCTGCTTGTGTTTTATTTTATGACGCTGCCAGTAGCTCAGATGCATTGTCGCGTGATAGCATGAGGAGTGAATGACGAGTTAAAAAATATGTAGAATGAAACGGTCGAGAACTTATTTAACGTACTGTCACACCATTTGTATGGAGAGACTGAAGAAAACCGCGAAATATCTTAATCAGGGTTGTAGGTTTCCGGGCCGTGATTTTTCATTCTTCTTTCCTTTTTTATAATTTTTGATATTAGCTCGCTCCTTCGAGGTTTCTCTTAAAACAAATTGTATAGAAATAATGAAATTGTTTATTTTATATATCAAACATCTTTAATGAAACCTTGTTTAACAATTTGAAGCCAAATATTTTCTGATTATTTAATACTTCAGTCCATCATATAGCAAAGAATACACCACAATTAACCATTGGAAAAGAATTATGCTGTTTCAAAAATTACAGCTGTTTACAATGAGAGTCATGAATGAAACTTAAAACACAGAATGAAATATTACTGATTAATGACGTAAGAGGGACATAATGTTACCGCTCACTTTTAAGGGCTAATCCTTGCAGGTACCTTAATAACAATTATTATATTGGTTTTCTACGTAAATTTTAATGTGCTTTATATGTAATGTAAACAATTACGGTGTGCTTAACCTCTTGACAATGACAAAGATAAAATTTTGTCCAGTTACTTCTTTTTCAAAAGGTGGTACTTTTCCTCTGTTATTTACAGGTTCTCTTACCACTGCTTTACGAAAAATACCGTGCATGGTAACTCAGAGAGATAGAAAACTAGGATAAGAGTTGACGGAATAATTTTCCAAGAAGTTCTCACACCAGAAGGTACATCACGGTGTTTAAAATATCCTGTTATTTGTCCTGTCGTTAGAAAGTTCAATCTGTCTATGATAAAGTCTTGCATGTAGTGCTTTCTAGGTATAAAGTAAAAACAATGGAAGTGCTCACTTTGACATTTTGTATTCTTCATTGTCATCGATTTAATTTATTTTAAATTGAAATCTGTTGTTGACAGACCTAATAGGCATAAAGATGTCACAATGAAAATAAATTCTGTTGATGACAAAAAACAGACAAGACATATAGTTCGCGACTGTAATCTTGAGACTTGCGGGGTGAGGAAGGGGGAAAGATAGCGTCTGCCTTTAACCCTTCGGATTTCCTGCATTCTTTGCAAGTCTCAAGATTACAGTTGCGAACAGTAAATTACATTGCATTGTGTAATAATTTATTTTTCTTGTAATTTGATAAAAATAAACCACGCGGGAACAAAATATTTTTAACGGAAGTTACTCGTAATGTGCTTATTTTGTTACGGTGAAATAATTATTTAAGAAATCTGAAATTTTTAAGCCATGTGTATGGTATGTACTCCAAAGTGAATTTAATAGAGTTCAGTATATACCCGAAATACAGAATTTCAACCTAATCAAATATTTTTCGAGTTGTAAAACGTTGAGACAAATGAGCGGACATGATCTCAGTATTGCTAGCCCCACTGCATAAAATTCCTGATGATGGGAGGGGGAGTGAGTTACAGTTGAATGTCTCCCAACAAACGGAAGACCGAAATTTTTTACAGACTCAGCGACTCATTCGAATTTCAGTGGCACGGAGAATACTCTTTCCGTTCGTTTGTTTTTATTGCACGGCTCACGACGTTTTCTTGTTTTATATCTGTTCCGTGATGAGAGTTCATTGGCTGGTTTGATGGCCAGTCTTCATGAAGCTACCTCCCTGTTCTCATTTGGTTTGATACAACATCTTGGCTATCTCCACCTGAAATCAATACTTTGTCAGCCGAGTTCTGATGTATGACATATTCCTGAAACAGTGCGCTGCAAATAATACGTGATACGGGACTGTACAACTTGAGAAAGAGAAATTATTGAAAATTTCGATAGTTTTGTGATGATTTTGTATGATAGTGAGGAGGCTATCCATGCTATTCAGTTATTTCGTCTTCAGCTTTAAATTTTAAGTACAATAAAGTTAGGTCACGTTTGCTACTGAGAGTATGTTTGTTGTTCCATCATGCAGCCTTACCACATATTATACAAACCTTAAATGGAAAGAAAGATTGTAAAGAAACACAGCATAAAATAAATTCAAATCTATGCCATAGTCGATTTTTTCAGACTCTTTTTGCGAATAAGATTCCATTTTGGAACTCGTAATTGCGAGACTATTTTATCCCAGAAGCTTTAACCTCTATTTATTATCAGTGACTCTATGATCCCATCATGACACTATTCGTGAAGGCTTGCCAACATACTAATTAGGGACTTTTACGTTGATATTCTAAACAATATTTTAATTATCCAGTTCAGCACCTACATATTTTATTACAAAATGTGTTTGTGTCTTAACAGTAACGCTGTTGCCCTAAATTATATATTTTCTTTGCCCTAACAAATTTTGTATTTGATTATGGTAGTTACATGGCTTGAGATTTTGTTTTATTTTAGTGTTCCATGCATGAGATTTTGGTGTCGGCAGGAACTTTAATAAAAGACTTGATTTATATTATTGTGGGCTTATTTTACCTCGGTAATGAACGTGCTCATAAGCTTATCCAAAAGGTCTCTGTCCTAAGGAATTATTAACCGAAGCTAAGAGAGTGTTAGTGTGATCTCGAAGTCAGTTGTTCTGAATCGATACTGCTACTCAGTTGAGAGTACAAATTCGATAAAGTGATTGATCTCCTTAGAACTTATCTCCTTCAAAACATGACGTGAGAGAGAGATATGCAAAGTTTCTAAAATATTTTTTAACTTGCATAAAACTAAGGTACAAGAATTTTCGAATGAAAAAAAGAAGCAAAAAAATCTTTGCTCCCAAGAGCCCATCATTTTATATTTTTTTACTTATTTTTATTTAAACTTCAAGTCTCGTGTGACAATACAGAAATATTTATTATTTTTCTTTTACTTTAGTCTAAAGAAAAACTTTAACTTCTTTTCCTCCGTTACTTTTCCTCGCACATTTCTCGAGAGAACACAATATTTCCCTCTTATTCCTACCTTTTTTTTACCCTTACTG